TCATGGCTTTCACCTTGGCAAATATCTTTTATTTGTCAAAAATTAGATGAGATATGGATACACAATGAAAATCAAGAAATATTATTTTTATGGTTTGAATTTTTAAGAAATAATCTTCTTAATTTTCTTCAGATCAAAAATATATTAGACATTTCATTCATGTACATGGTATATGACAGTATAACAGATTATTTTGAATTAAGTGTGGCATTGCAAAATGATACTAGAGCTATATATAATGTACCATTTTTTAATCCAGTACAACTTTTAATAAACTATGACAAGTATCAACATATAATTGAATTTGAAAATAATTATCATATATGTACTATATGTTTTAATTATTATTGTGGAAAACAATGCATAAAGTTAAAAAACTGCAGTCACATCTACTGTAAAAAATGTATACAAGAGTATATTGCTATAAAAATTAATGAGAATGATGTGAATATTATATGTCCTAATTTAGATTGTCATCTTAATATTACATTTAACGAAGTTAAAGAACTTTGTGCAGAACTATTTTTAAAGTATGAAACTTTATTACTACATATGACTATAAGAACTATGCAAAATGTAGTTTTTTGTCCTAGAATATCATGTCAGTACCCACTTATAAAGAATAGTGATGGTACATTAGCTATTTGTCCTAAATGTGATTATCCTTATTGCACTTATTGCTATAAGGTAGGAAATAATAATTTTAAAAATGTTTATTAAATTTCTCTTATATTACTAAATTAATTCTAGTTATATCACGGAGTTGCACCATGCATTATGACAAACACTGACACAACAAAACTTATTCAAGAATACCAAAAGAGTAATAAACAACAGCAAAAATTATTAGAAAAAAGGTATGGTAGAAAACAAATACAAATAGTTGTAGAAGAACATTTATCAAAAGAATATTTAAAGGTACATATCCAATTGCATTAATGTAATGTAATTTGTATATTAATAGTTATATAATGTTGTAATTTTATGAGTAGAAATATACTAAAGCATGTCCAAATTGTTACACTATGATTGCAAAAATCGATGGATGTAATAAAATGACATGCAAGCATTGCAAAGCCCATTTTTGCTGGCTCTGTGGAGTGCATATCACTGCAGAAAATGCATATAACCATTTCTTATCCATTGGTAAAGAATGTTATAGACGCTTATTTGAAGAATAAGCAGTT